GAGAACTTTTTGTCCCCATAATGAAACAGTGCGGAGGAAACATATTTAAATATAGATCTGTCAAACAGAAAATAAAATGTTTGTAACATACTTGAATTATTAAATTTAAATACTTTTAAATCCTGTATTAATGCATTGCTATTTGAAAATACTTAGGTCTGGGGGAAAGAGATAATGATAAAGCTGTGGAAATCAATGGGCTCTGGCAGTCATTGTTACAGTGAGAAGGACAAGAATCAAGCAGATTAGAGTTCATATAGTAAACAGTAATGTTAATGAGAATGCCACTCGCAGTCGTTTGCTTTGGTTATCGACCACATTCGTATCCGTCGGTCTGTCGATATGACAGCGATGCAAGTTCATTATTCATTAACATGTCAATTAACTTGAATGTCTTAGCTAACTTGTTGGTTATACATCTAATATAAGTCACCAATAATACAACTATTACCAAATCATGTTTCTATTTAAATGTCGAATAATTTTTAATTACAAATTTTTTTAAAAACTCTGTACACCAGAAGAAAAGTTTTTAGTTTTAAATCTGAACAATTTAATTATAAAAAAATTATTTCTTTAATATAAATAAATCCTGTCTTAATCAAGTAGGTTTTCTTTCTAACAAATAAATCTTGGTTTCAACTGAAAGAAGATTTTTATTTTTCAATTTTTCTTTCATTTGAACAGGATTAAAAGAATAAAAGAGAATTTAATGGATTAAAATATAGGATTTCTTTAAATTAAAGAAATATTTCTTCTTTTTAAAGAAATAGCAATAGAAAAAGGAGTTTTTAAAACAAAAAATCTCTTTTCTAGGTGTTTTTATTTTCGATATCCAATAAATATTTTCTAAGATCCAGTAAACGTGTTTTTGTCGATTTTCAAGATTTTTCCTCTTTAAACTTTATAAAAGCACAAAGAGAATTTTTGTCCTTACCCCCACTTTTTTAAAAATGCCCATTTTTTATCTCGCGCATATGGGTCTTAAAGTGTACAATTAAAGCTTTCATTTAATAATTGTTTTGTTGGTAAAATTTAAAGATAGAATACATATTATGGGTACTTTTCAAAGCGGAAAGTATGAAGTTAAAAATTATGGATGCAGGTTAAATTCACTCGAATAATCAAAATGTTTAATCAAATAATTTTTTGTAAATTATTTTATTTGAAAGTAACAGTTGGCAAACATGTAGTTAATAATCCCACTACTGGATATTACAACTGGCGTGTTTTCTAAATTGGCAATAAAGAGGTTTGTTAGTAGTTAAAACGACGATTTTATGTATAGAACCAGGGACAGAAAGAAAAAAGCTCCAGATGAATAAGGAGTCGTGAATAGGGAAAGGGTAGTGAAGCATCCGTGAGGAGGGCGGGTGAAGAGAAAAAGAGGAATTAAAAGAAAAGGGAATTGTGGAAAAAAGAGGTGCCGGAGTTCACGACATGAAGGCCTCATTATGCCCTGGGTACTCGATGGGTCTTGTATGGAAAGAAGGGGGCGGTACACCAAACCAAGAAAGTAGAAAAGACGACCGATAAGGATACTGATAACATGGTAGCTTGAGAAATACAGAAAACAGGGAATCAGCCTCATTACTTCTATCTTCTTCTCGGCATCCCCCTTGCCCTCACCCCATCGCGTCCGTATCCCCTTGATACTCTTTTTCTTCCTCTTCCTTCGGAACGATTTCCGAGAACGATTCTGTGGTGATCTTTGATCGGCGAGAAATGAGAAAACTCACTGGCGAAATTGCATATGACGTTTGTTCCCTCATTACCCCTCCTCTATTGCCTCTACAGTTGCAATTCAATCTAACAATGAGTGTCGACGAACCTCGGGATAAGATTTCCTGACGAGAACGAACTCTGTTATCTATATCAATGAGCTTTTATATTAGGGGGAAGTGTATTGAACTACTGCTATTATTTATTATTCATTGGGATATTTTTGTAGAGAGAAAAGAATCAGTCCAGAAATGAAAGAATAAAATCATCTCCTGTTAGGAGGAGTGACTAAAAATAAAGTAAGTACCTTTTCAATTCTCGTGTATTAAAGATAAAAATATATGAAAACAACGAAGCAATATTTTTATAAGCATTGCAGAGTGAACTTTGAGTAAACTCAGTTTCCAATTTGTGAAGAATCTAATTTATTTCCAGATGGTTCATAAAATGCCTCATAGTTGTGACATGCATTTGAGATAAAAGGAAGAAGCTAATTATTAATATCTGACCCCGCACCCGAGTATCGTAAATTACAATCTTTATGTAAAACCTGATAAGCACTCTTGAATGGTTTCAATTAAAGAGTATAGAATGAAAATTTAAAATTCAGTAATGCTCATCGTGTTGACATTACGTTCTTGTAATTAAGGTCATTAATCGAAATTTGTCATAAAGATTTATCACTCAACGAGTTACAACATCGAATGTACATGACCCGAACATGTGTAAATCTCTTGCATGTGCTATTGGTACAAGTGCGTTAAATGATAAATCACACTATAAAATAACTCAGATCATGACCTTGAAGTGCTGAAATTAAATAGTATTCACGAACGAATCAACTTTTGTTATAACTGTAGTAAATTATTGTCATTACATCGTCAATGCAACTAATCGCAGTCATTAGCGGAAAACTCTCACAACTGAAAATTTATCGCTTAAACCGGCAACTAAATATTCGATTGCTGACGAATGGTTAATAAAATAAAACTGCATACAGTTCTGTGAGTAAATCAATTTCTTGGGACTTTCTAAAGGCCATTAATACAATTTAATCAACCAGATAGAAACAAGTCAATCTGGTCCGGAAACTTTTATTCGTACTTTGAAAAATAAGAAACCCAAAACTCGAGATAGTTTCCAAACGTAACATATCAGTGAAGTTTGAATAGACGTTTTCTATGTGTATAATGTACCAACGATAAACGAAAGGATCAGTGACTGCTGAGAAAGAGGGGAATAACTCATACACTAATGTTACGTCTCGGCACATCAACATAAATACAAGGTTGACATCAGAGTAAACACTTGACATATTTTTCAGGTGAGCGGCCATTGACATCGCGTTTAAAATATAAATAATAGTATAATTGAGAATTGACGAGAGGATAGCATGCGACTTGTTTTCAACACGAAACTATCTACACATCGGTTCTCAACTTTTCCTTTAAAATTTACATATTTTCACCAACCTGATAAACTTATATTTCACTATTCATATGGAAAGTACATTTTGGCAAGATTGATGACCGTAATTGGCCAATTAAAAACTGTGATTAACACAACCCAATAGGTGGGCCTGAATAAAAATTAAATCAAAAGTCAAAACACTTCAGATTTTCGTGTGAATTTTTCAAGTATTATGCTTTTAGATTAAGAAAATCGTAAAATCAAAATCTTCCATCGAGGACTTTTTGAGAAAAATGAGTTTGAAATTTTATTTCTTGAAACAAATTTTTTATTTTAAATTTTGTTGACAAGTATGTTTCTCGGTAAAGTACATTGAAAACAAATGAATGTAGTATTTATGTTCTTCTTTTGTTCAAGAAAAAGTTTATAAACTAAAATCATTAAGTTTGATGACATAAAGTGCAATATGCAATATTAAAATTTTTAAAAATTTTTAATTGTCAAAAACTGAAAAAATATTTTCTACCGGCCGTACACCTCTGCATAAAAAATGGGTTTCTATTGATGGACTGTCAATGCACCATTTTAATTTTTTTATCTTTTGAAAATAATTTTTTAGTAGTTTAATATGTACTTAACAACAATATATCTTAAAAAATATCTTAAAAATGGCTCTGATTTTCGGTCTGCCCAGTGGTCTAACTCCTTAATAAAACTATGTAACCATTTTTTTTAACAATAAATGTTTCTACACAGAAAAACCCTACTCTCATTTTTGTTGCAAATCAAAATGAGCCAATGCTAAACGACATAGACAGTGGCATCACCAACCTGGTTCATTTTTGTTGCACATCAAAATGAGCCGTCTACACGGCTCATTCTGAGTTCAGTTTTTTCTGTGTAGTGAGTTTTTATTTTAGTTAGTCATCGTTAGTGTGTATTATATATATTTTTTTTTCTATGGAAAATATAGTTTAGGCAGTGATTGGAATGTATGCGCATTTAAAAAGAGAAGAGCCGTGAATTTTATAATGTTGGCACGACAGCGAATATAGACGACGGACTTAATGAATCTTTATGGGATGGTGTCGTGAACTTGTATTCCCTCAGCTACACTGTCCATTGGCGCATTTTCATTTCCAACTCAGTCAAGTGACGCAAATCTACGTCACAAACCGCACCTATTGCCATTCAACTAAATTTTTTCACACTCAAAAGAAATTGACTGCTGTAATGTTCCACTCTTCGACGGAAGAATTTTCAGCATTTTCCTAGTAACTAAAGCCCAAAAAATATGAACAAATTTAAATTTACATTACGCCAAATGTAAGCAAAATAAGTTTGTCTCGAGATGGAATTCAAAACAAAGAAACAAAAATAGCAAAGGCAATGTTCGACTTAAAAAATGAAGTCTACGTGTTGATTTCCATAATTCTTTTTGGCGTTTTGACAAAAAAGATTAAAGAATTCGTACTGCCGACGCCATTGGGACATTTCGCTCATTAGGCTCGACAGTGACTTCGCCGCGGTCGGTGTTGACATGTGTGTCTGTGTTTGTAAATTTTGAAGGGTGTGTTGAAGGTCCGTGGGTCCCACCCTGCATCTTGATTGTCATCAACTCGATTGTCGCGTGATATTGTCATTAGCGAACGACGTCGCCGAGCACTCGGCGCAAGTTTACTTTTTTTATTCAATATTAAACGCAACAGAGATCAACTCGTGATCCCTTATCTTTTTTCCACTTCGCCCGTCACAAAAAAATACGTAATTATTGAAAACCCTTTCTCCATTTTAAAAAGAAATTAATTTCTTAATTCAGTATTTTAATGACATTAATACTATTGAAAAAATGCTCATTATCGACTTACCAGGATCGGAGGAGTCCAAACTTGTGGGGGCTTGTTGACTGAGAGGGCCAGGTGTTCCCCCGCTTCCAGGACTGCGTGCATCGTCGTTGCCTCCCGGACCAGGGTACGAAAGTGACGAGGAAGGTGGTCGCTGCAAAATGAAATAACATGTTTAAAAATATTTTCTAGTTATTGTAAATGTTTATGTACAAAGATGAAATCGGGAGACGGAGGAGCTAACTTAAGCCACAAGATAAAGGTCATTTAGAAATATTTCCATATTCTACACCAATTTAATGACACGAAATGTTTTCTTAACTTTCTATCATTAGTGCGGAATATAAGTTGTCAGCTCCCTTCTCGATTACTGTGTAAAAAATGCGCGTGTAACCTTTGTCAGACTTCTTGAGAGCAAATCCGTTCGGTTGTATTAAGCACGCGTATGCCAAGCAATAATGAGTGACAGTGACTCCCACGAACTGTCATACAGATATCATCTTCACTTGTCCCCCTACGGACTTAACTGATAGGTTTGTACACCCAGTGGGAAATTGCCAAGACTGAATATTGGCTAAATATTGGACCAGTTATTTTTACCAATATTGGTCCAAGGCTGGAAGTGTAGAGATCAATGCTCGAATTTCAATATTGGCCCAATATTCAACCAATATTCAAAAATACAAAAAATCAGACTCCCGCCAAGATTAAAAAAATTAATTATTAAAACTGAAATATAATAAAATTTTTAGCTATATTTTATTATATATAATAATATTATTATTTCCCTTCCAATATTAGGCCAATATTGAAATTCGAGCCTTGGCATTATTGGTCTCTACACTCCCAGACTTGGTCCAATATTGGCTAAAATAATGGACCAAGATTGTCAAAAGTGCTCCCAATATGGGATCAATATTCAGCCAGTCGTGCTTTTCCCACTGGGCAATTAATAAACTGAGAGACTGCCAATCAACCACACAACAATTTTTCCATTTTTCTTATCAATACGAGTTGACGTTAAATTCTGGATTATATTTTTACACAAGAACGCAAATTTCTTGTTCTAATGGAGAAAATACTTGAAGTATATTGGGAACTATTGTGTAATGATTTAATGAATATAAGTGGGTCAAGTTTATCTAAGCAAATGATCTAAAACGAAAATGACGAATTCCAGACCAATGGAGAATTCTGACGTCACTTCCTGCTAAAGGCTGATTTTTAAGTGACCCTGTTAGGGTCCATGTTATAAAACGTGACTTGTGTCGATGTAATGACGAACGGTTAAGCGACGAAAGCGAATCATTCCTTCGTTCTCTCTTAAGTTTTTTCTCCCTCCCTAATTCGACAAACCGGATGTCTGGTGTACCCTTAAGTAAATCAGTCAACGAATGCCCGCATCTTGACATTTCGATGATACTCATGTCGCCACGTGAAGTATGTATATTTTTTACACCTCCGCCTTGGTAGAGTAAAATAAGTGCATGCATAAAAGGACAAGTAAACACAATGTAGGAATTGTTTGTTTCGGGGTGATATTGAAGGTCAAGAGTGCGTGCAAGAGGTGTCGACAGGTTAATAGACCAAGTAGTTACGGCCCTGAGTGGCACACGCCCGCTGTCAACGGACAGGGAAGACAATAAATTATAAAGCTCACTCGATCGGACACTAACAACACGTATCGCCTACGTCTGGTATCCTCGAATGTATACGAGACGTGTCCCCGTGCATCGGTGCCCGGTGACTTACTGCTTCGTCTGACAACACTTGATCGGTACACAGACATTGTACGTCGCTGCCGCTGTATTAATTGGTCTTCGCAACCTAACGCCATATAATTATGTAATTAGCGACCGGACATTATAGCTCTGTGTTGACTGGTTTACGGCTAAGATACGTAAATCTCCGCAATTAATTTATTAGCTCGAATGTGCCTTCACTGCATACCACTCCAGGCGAGAAAGACATATCAAACAGGACTAATACCCACTTTATTGTCTCTCTACTCTTTTCAGATTTATATTCACAAGATTCATTCGACTTTTATGTTAATTTTTCAGCCTTCAACTAACCATTTATTACATAGTACGGTAACCAAACAAATGTGTTTACAGAATTTTTTAAAATAATACACTCCGTAAATCTGAATTAATAAAAAGTGAGTAACTAATTCAAATTTAGTTATATTTTACTAGGTTTGAATTAGTAAAAATTCACAACTTTTCAATATGTAGCGGTAGAAATAAATGAATATCGTAAATTTTCTTACATAGTTTGTTCAACTAATAGTTATAGTGAAATCTTGGAATCACTTTTTTATAAAAATGAAACCAATGTTTAGTTAATGTTTGAAAATGTTGATAATTTTTTGACAGGGAAAAAAAATATATTTTAATAAAAAGAAGAGATAGACAGTAGAAAATAATGTAAATTCTAGAATGGGTTTTGGTAGCTGCTAACCACGTTGAGTCCAGATTTCAGGAATCGTAAAAGCCTATGGAAGGTTCACAACAAATCTAAACTCTGGGTTTTATTGACAAGAGAGAAAATCCCGGGATTCCATATTTACGACTTGTGCGATGTTTGTGTCGTGTTTCAGACTGCGAGGCAACAAAATACATACGAACTTGGGGGTCTCTATACGACCCTCATAAATTTGTTTCTTTTATATGAGCATTTAAAATTTTTTAAGGTCCGATATTATACCTTACAGATCTTTTCTGATTCTGAAAGCAGGATATGTTTTCCATTTGCCATAGAGACTTTGTATTAGCACTTGAGTTTCGTTTTGAGAAAAATCGATATGAAATGCAAGGTAAGCAAATAATCTTTCAATATCTTTAATCACAAGAAAAAGCCTCCATCTAACTCTCAACAGGATAAAACAATTCTGAAATTTAATTAACTGAAATTAAAGGCAAACAACGTCGAATTATGAAATCAACGTATCATTTCAGTTAATGGAAGTCATTAAGAGGAGGAAGGAGAATATAAAATGGGCAGAATGGCGATTGGTTGATAAAGTATATTTAATTCAAAAGTCTCGTGACTTTGGAGAATTTATTCAACTCGACTTGCCTCTGGCAATTATCGTCGACTTTACGGCATCCGCCTGATCGTCCATGGGCAATGAGCAAAAGGCAGTTAGGCTACCTGCTTCAATCGTGCCTACCCAAGTTGAGGGGAATTCCATTACGTGGAAAATGTAAATATAATTGTAGCACACTGACATAACGGAAAGATAATCCGTCGAGTGGAGGCGCTGCCTCCGCAATAAATGGTTATTTATGATCTCCACACCAAGCCAGAAGCGGCCTGTGTCTTGGAGAAATCCAAGTCTCAACTTGACTTTCTACTCACGCCTCCCTCGCCTATTTCACGTCACTAACCCTAATTTACAACTCATCACAGAATCCGATTATGACTTTTAAATAAATTAGGAAACCACCACAGTTGGCATTCCATCTTTGCTTCTTAATGCCCATGCCATGCACTCGTTTTGTAGTTTTTCTACTCATTTTCATGTAGAACTGGCCTTCATAATTAGTCATATATTTCAAAGATCATAAATCTGTTGGAGATGACGAGGAGGACTGAATCTCGGTTTTTGGTGGAAGATCATTTGAGAGTCTAATCTATCGAGTGGGCAAATTAAAACGATTGCCGTCGCCAATCGGAGACGAGAGAATCGACTGTAATCGAGGTTGTAGGAGGCGAGGGGAAGGGGAAGATGAAGAGCCAGCGTGATTAGGGAGGAATTTTGATTAGATCCATCAGCTCCCTTCTTCAACAGACCCATCCTTCGACTCTCGAAATCTCAGAGACTGACCTTCGAGAGTCAGTTCTCGATCTACTCCATATCCACTCGTCAGTTTCACACTTCACCTATTTTACAATCTGTATACACTCTTTTAGACCAACGTCAATCTGCAAATTATAGTTTTTCATGATTGTTGAACAGAATGTTAAATAACTATTTAACAACATTCTTTATTATTCGGAATGTCAGCTACGAGAAGAGTTGATGTTCGCTCGCCCTATGCGACGTTGTGGAAACTAATCTCCGGTGGAGATCCGTTTGTATGATGCAGGAATGTTTGAAATATTTGAAATTATTACAATGGGAATTTCCCGTTCTAAATTTACTGTTTTTTGAAAAATAGTGTTTAAATTTGTGAATGTCAGGAACTTAATTATTTAAAGACAAAAAAACTTGATTTATTTATATATTAAATTTAGGATTCATAGCAAAAAATAACCCAACTTATCACGAATAAAATTGTAAAACAACATATATAATCTTCAAAAGACAGAATTCATTTCAAAACAGGCAGGCTAAACATCGTCGGAGTTGAAAATCAATTTTTCCTCCAAAATTTTATTTTTTAAAGCTTTATTGAGCAACACGTATTTTTTGTTTGGCTGAAAAATTTTTTTTACAAAGTTATAACTAATTTAATTTTTCACGTTGAAATCGTTGTTTATCTTAAAAATAAGAAAAAGGATTTTTTAAATCTTATTACTTTTTGTCTAATAGGGATATTTAATTTTTTCGTTTTTGCCCTGAAAGAGCTTTCACTCTTAATTAAAAAACCGTTAGAAAAATTAAAAAATAACAAATTGTAGGCCATTTTACTAAAAATCTTTGAATTTAAATTACTCAATAACCCCAACTTCTTTTTTGCTCCAATTTTTTTGGTAATTGTCTTGATAATAAAGAATATTTTCCATAAGAATTTAACTTGTGCCAGATACTGGTAGCAAATAATTTTTTTTTTTTATAAAGAAAAATTTAATTTTTTTTAAGAAATGCGGTAGCAATAAAATTTCACTAAAAAAAGTTGTTCCTCTTTAAAAGATGTGAAAAAGTGTCTCTTGACACTTTTCTCAATCTCGCTTTGTTTAAGATATAAGTATTTCGCAAAATTTAATTTGAATGGTAACAGTATTTTTTCGCAACGAACACTTTTTTGACAGTCATTTGTTTATTCTTAGAAAAAATATGTTTTGCAAACAAAAATTTTGTAGATAGCAAGGATTTTTTTAAAAAAATACGATTTATGAGATGTTTGGAATTCGTTCACAAACGAGCTATGGTAACTATACAAAAAAAGCCTTTAAGTTTCAAGTTGATCGGTACAGTGGTTTCAG